ATGTTGATCTTGTATCCTGCTACTTTGCTGAATTGGTCAACTACGTCCAATAGTTTTCTTGCTGAGTCTTTAGGGTTTTCTAAGTATACTATCATATCATGTTCTTGTTGAATGGGGGGAGGACTCAACAGAGGTGCATCTTGAGGCATTACTGTTCTTGAGTGAGGAGGGTGGATTCTTCCTCCACCTATCCCCAGTTTTACCTGGGAGCCCAGTTCTACCCATGATTGTGAGATGATGACTCCTTGACTCAACATAGTCTGTATATCTCAGGGACCCCCAACACCAGCACAAGAACACATCCTGCCCCTTCCACAGATCTGTACTTCACTGCCACTGTGTCACTAACACTCCATCTACCTGGGCTGCCTTCTTAAGAGTCCATAGCTCTGATTTACAATGTGAGGCATTTAGCTGAGTGGCTGAAGGTGCAAGGGAGATGCCAGTAGCCATGGGTCCCTACAGGCAGTCACAACCAAGCTGCTTCGACCGCGTGAAAATGGGCTTTGTGATGGGTGGTGCAGTGGGCATGGCGGCCGGGGCACTCTTTGGAACCTTTTCCTGTCTCAGGATCTGAATGCGGGGTCAGGAGCTGATGGGCAGCTTTGGGAAAACCATGATACAGAGTGGCGGCACTTATGGCACATTCATGTCCATATGGATAGGTATCCAGTGCTAACCAGTGCTGTGATTGTCCTCTACACCTATTCCCTGTGATCAGTCCCATCCTATGTACTGTAATAAAACAAGGTCTTTGAGTAAAAAAAAGTCCACAGCTCTGTAGTAATAGGGAAGTAACTTAGGCAGTTTCCATTAAGGGATCATGATATGAGCATGGTCACCATATATTATCCAGGAGAATGTCAAGGAAGGTTTTCTGGAGGAAAGGACTGCTGAGCTGAGACCTACTGGACAGTAGAAGATAGACTTTGGCCCAGATGATGCAGCTGCCTGGGGAGCTGGAATGGGCATCAGAACAGGCACCTGTGTCAGGGGAGAAAAAGGATGCTCTGGACCCTTCAGCCTGAGCCACACATGATTCAATTTTTCCCTCTGCTTCTTTCTCTCCAGATTGAGGCCCTCCCACCAGAGCTCTTCCAGTGCCGGAAGCTACGGGCCCTGCACCTGGGCAACAACGTGCTGCAGTCGCTGCCATCACGCGTGGGCGAGCTGACCAATCTGACCCAGATCGAGCTGCGAGGCAACCAGCTAGAGTGCCTGCCCGTTGAGCTTGGCGAGTGTCCACTGCTCAAGCGTAGCGGCCTGGTTGTGGAAGAGGACCTGTTTAACACTTTGCCACCTGAAGTGAAGGAACGGCTCTGGAGGGCTGACAAGGAACAGGCCTGAATGCTGGCAGCCAGCTGGAGCACAAGGCTGGCCCAGAGCAGCCAGCAGTGGGGACCAGCAGAGGAGTCCTCCGGCCAGAAGGGCCAAGCTTTGTTCCTCCCAGAAGTCCAGGGACAGACAGACCAGCCTTGGCTAGGGGAGCCTGGGGCAAAGATGTGAGCTGGGCCAGGGCGAGAGGACAGTATCTGAGGGGCTGGCCCCTTTTCTCCCTCTGAGACTCATGTCCCCCATAGGCAGGTGCCTGTTGGGGTGACCAGAGGACTGCGCAGTATTTGGACAATCAGAGCATCCTCCCTGGAGGCTGGATCTGCCCCAGAAGCTGAGCCGATGCCAGAGGTCCAGGGACACCTACTTAGCTCTTGGTATTTATTTTTCTCCACATCCCATTTCCTCCCTCCAGATAACTTATACATTCCCAAGAAAGTTCAGCTCAGATGGAGGGTTTTTATGGAAGGATGGGTTGTGTCTCCCTTCTCCCTTCCTACTGATGCCACTGGCATTTAATGCCCATCCAGATTTGAGCAGAGGGGTCCAGGGTAAACCCGCCATGGGATGGTGATCCCCACTGGTGCCATGCTGGGCACTGGCAGCACGGCTCATGGGAGAGCAGGCCACCAGGTGAATAGGCCTGGGGCCTGTCTTACTGGTTTTTGTGGCAATTTCAGATTTTTTTTTTTAAAAAAAGAAGATTTTGGTTGTTTTCTTTTTTTAAAAAAATTAATAAAAAAAGCTTTGACAATGAATGGTTTGAATAGTAAAAAGGAAAAAAAACCTAACAAAAAAAGAGACACTAAAAGGCCAGTGAGTTGAAGTCTCAGGGTGCCAAGGCTGTTTCCCATGAACAAAGGAGCAAGACGTTGGATTGTATTTCCTTTCCCTGGGGCTTTGTGGTGCAGGATGTCTTCCAAATCTGGTGTGACCTTGGTCTTGTTCCTCTCCTTGCCTGAGGCAGGGTGTTGTGTTTTAGTTTATGGTTGTTGTTTCTTTTGGTGTCTTGTTTTCTTTCTTCATGTGTCTTGGCAGACACTCATTTCTGTGGCTATTGGCCAAAGGTAATGTTCTGGAACTGCCAAGAAGGGAGGATAATTGGGTTGGCTAACCCCCAGATGATGGTGCTCCATTCTTCCCCTCCGTCATGCGCCCACCCTGCCCTCCACAGTGTTAAGGAGCCTAGAGGAGCTACTTCACCTGGACTTTCTGTCCCACCTCACATGGCGTGGGTTTGCCCAGTGCCACCATTATCCTCAGCTGCCTGTGTCAGCCCTGTCACACCCTTGAGAACAGATGCTTAAAAGCTGGGTTGGGGTGGGGAGGTCACCATTGGGAGGGAAAACTCCACAGTTTCTCGTTTCAAGCCAGCTTCTGCCCAGGGCACCTGGCACACAGACTGCGTAAGTCAGCACCTTGTGTCAGGAGGCCACCTTGCATTAGATCAGTCACTGAGTCCCCGCCTTAGAAGGATCCCGCCTTAGAGCAATCACTCAGACACTAAGGCACATTTTAGCGTCTCTTGTCTTAATGAGTATGTCTGTCTGTCTCTCTATCCATTTGTGTTCTCTGCGTTGTGTCATCAGATGTAACCCTCAAATAATGCACACTAGCCTCTGACAACCATAAAGCAATCCGTTACTTTTGGGTCTGAACTTGTAGACTCTGTTCAAATATCAAATAAACCTATAACAGAAAGTAACCTCTGTCTCTTTGTCATGGGGGACCCTCCCCACATCTCTCTGGCCTGCTGAGCCTGATTAGTTTATTGAGTGACCATTTACTGGACCTGTGCAGGATAGATAACTCTGCTCACCATCTGTAGTGCTGTGGTGCTTAGTGATAAAGAGTTGTGCTGCCAACCTAAGAGCAGGTGGTTTAGCTCTACCAGCTGCTCTGCAGAGAAAGGAACTGTTTTCTCCTGTGAGATTTACGGCCTCTGAAAATCCACTAAAGGGTCAGCTTTGACTAGACTGCAGATAACAATGACAACATCACCTGCACAATGAATATCCCACCTTGTGCTCTCAGAACCCTTTGCAAGTCCAACAGCAAGTCCCCAGAGTTCTGAAGAGGTGGAACCCCCTTTGATGAAGGTGCTGGGATGAAGGGCAGAAGCTCAGGGTAGAACTGCCTTCCGATCACAGATCACAGCTTTCCCTTATTTGATGTTTTGGGTTTTTTTTTTCTTTTGTGCTAATTATACCAGTTGGTAATTTTTATTAGAGGCCATGGCTCCTAATACCCATTGAATCTTTTCTGATACTCCTGGATTAGGGATGCTTGTGCTAGGGAATGAAGGCCCAGGAGCAAGAGTTTTTGGTGAGGAGGAGAGGGCATTGTGTCTGACCTTGACCCTGGTGTTGATGAAACCTGAGTTGCTGCTTGAACACTTCCTCTGGAACTGTCCAGACTACCCCACTGGCCCAAGTGGCCTGAGGACTGAGCTGAGAGGCCCTCCTTCTGCCCTAGCTGTGAGTTAAACCTCAGCCCCCTCTGAAGCACACTTTGTGTTGTCTCAGTGGAGGTCTCTTACCCTCCTCCTGTGTGGTCTCTTACCCTCTGCACAAATCCCTGCCACCCCCCACCCCTGCCTTAGCCTCAGAGCCACTCAGTGCCCAGAGCACAAGGGTTGGATCTGGAGCTGGTTAGCAGTTGGAAAAAACAACACTGGAAATCGCCACCCACTGCCTTCCCAGTGCCTGAGTAGAATGAACAAATAGTGAACAGTAGAGACATGCCTCCCCTTCCCTTCTTAAACTTAAAACACTTCAGAATAGTGATGGTCCTTTCTTTGATTACAAAAGCAGCTTGGAAAATTTAAGAAAGCTCAAAAAAGAAAAATATCTTTACTTTCCACCACCCAGAAAAGCTCTTTACATTTGGTGAACAAGTAACAGTAGTAGGTACGGTGCCAAATTCTGTATCTATAATAAAGCACCAGCTTTAGTTGACCCTTACAAGAGGTGTCTTTGTTACCCAAATTACAGATGGGTAAAGTAAGGCCAGAAGTGCTCGAGACTTCACAGTACAGTAAGTCCCCAGGTTTAGACGACTGTTCAGTTTGTAGTACTACTGACTACTCAATTTGCCTTTAGTGTCAGTTTTGCCTTCACTTTTAAATTCTAATTTTAAACACATTCTGGAGACCCAGACTCCACTGTCTAGCCCCTTCCTCCAAATGAGATACCCCTCATCATCTTCCCTCCCTCTTAGCTCCTGACTGACCAGTAAATTCCTGTCTGAAATCCTGCTACCACTGAGAATTCTCAAGATATTAGAGCTGGGACTTTTAAGATTATTTCTTTCAAGAAATAATCATAATCCCCTTCATTTGCCAAGTGTGAAGTTTTAAAATGATAAAGACTTCCAGCCTTTTTTTGGACTAAAATAAGGCTAAATAAAAAAAAAAAGTATGCACCTGTTCCGACTTAATCTGCAAATTCGACTGAAAGACACACTTAGGGACAGAGTCTGAAGGTGATGCCTCTTCTACTGAGAACCTTTCTCTGGGTAGGGGAGGGCTTTCCAAGGGGGCTTAGTTGTCCTCTGTCGCTGGCTGGCCCTACCTGAAGGGACCCTCACTATTGCCAGGCACATTTTTCTTTCTTTAGTGATTGTATCAGGAGTCATGACAGCTGAGGATGTTCCCGCCCTCTAGCAAGCCACATCTCAGCTGTGTTTCTCCCCCATGTACCATGTTCCCCTAGCCTCACCCGGCTAAGCCTTTTCTCCACAAGCAGGAGCAGAGAAGAGGGGGAAGCGCACCCCTCCCTGACCCTCCGGAATCCTGACCAACTCCCAGTGACCTGGCCCAGAAAACACTTGACTTGGGGCCAAGTCACTCCCGTACACTCTGTCCTTTCACCATTCAGAAAGCTGTCATTTCGGGGAAGGCCAGTGGCCGGTTTTTCAAAAGTTGCTGTAGCCAGAGTGGCCCTGTCAGCTGTCTAGCGGCACTGGCTGGGGGAGGGTGGACATATTTGTGTTATTCTGGCCTCCAGATACCAAACATTTTGGGCCACCGACGACTTCTACATTCTGAAGACCCAGACTCCACTGTCTAGCCCCTTCCTCCAAATGAGATACCCATCATCATCTACCCTCCCTCTCAGCTCCTGACTGACCAGTAAATTCCTGTTTGTAATTCTCCCACCACTGAGAATTCTCAAGACATTAGAGCTGGGAGGGGTCTGGAGTCAAGACATTAGAGCTGGGAGGGGGCTGGAGAGCATCTTCTTTGGAATGCAAAACCATCAGGACCTAATCTCCTTGGGCCCCACCCTGTGTCCCCAGCTAGGTGTCTATACTGGTGTTCCAATTTCTGATCTCCCCTTGAGGTGAGGTTCATTAAAGGTCACAGATACTGCTGGCTCCAGGAGTAAGATGTCTACCAGCCCAGCTTCATGATGTCAACACTCTTCAGAATGCAATTTCTGGGCACCTGGTAAGTAAGCCTTGAGTGGTTTCTGGGAGGAAGTGGTTAAAAACCAAGAAGGCGATTAGAGAGATCCTGGATTAACAGAAGGTAGGAGGAAGGCTCAGGGTTGAGCTGGAGCAGAGTCAAGGGTCACTGCCTTATCCAGGGTCAGAAGTGAGAGCAAGGAGACCTGGGGCTGTGCTTGGAGAAGTCCCAGAGTGGTCTGCTGGAGGCTGGGGTAGGAGTGAGGCGGGGCCTAGAGAGGCACAAATAATAGGACTAGCTTGCTTTCTGGGTAAAGAAGGGTTAAGGCCTCCTGTGCCTGCCAGGCTGCAGCTGGCCACTCCTCCTGAACTTTCTCCCTCCAGAGCGTGGGCATCTAACACCCAGAGCCATTCAGTTTGTTGTTATCCTCATGGCCTGCCTGAGCCCCTTGCAGCTCCAGAAGGTAGGCACCTATAATGTGGGGGAACTGGGAGGGTTAGGTAAGGGTGGGGGCTCCAGATCATGGGTCATTCTCAGGAACTCAGTCCCATCTCCAACCATTGCCATTTTAAGGCAGAGGAAAATGAGGCCCCATTTTCTGCACACATGATTCTAGGCAGCCTGGCCATGAGAGCTGAGATGTGAGTGTGTGTGTGTGGAAGGGGTGTTTGGATGTGTGGGTTTATGTGTGGTGTATGTATATGTTACCAAAAAAGGATAATAAAGCATTAAGATCAGCCAATCAGGACCAGGCCACACTAATGGGGGTAGGGCCTGAAGTGACCAGACCAGCTATGAATTGACTGCCACTTGGAAACTGGTGGGGGCATCCTTCCCATTCCCATTTACAAAAAACAACACACTTTAACCCATGGGAGTTAGAGTGACACAGGCATAAAAATGCTCATCAGTTTGTACCTGAGAAGACAAGAAAAAGGCATTAAATTATAGGAAATAAACATCATAAAGTCCTATACTGAAGACATTTTTTAAAATGTTTTTTTAAAAACCACACAAACAAGCTTATTCCTGTTGAGTTGGAATCAACTCATAACTGATCCTCCAGGAAATTTTCCAGGGCTTGAAATCATAGGGAAAGAGATTGTCTAGTATTCTTCCTTGGAGCCATTGGTGGAATCACACTGCCAGAGAAGTGCTGCGTTTGTGTAAGCAGCACAACTCTCTTAACCATAAGGCCACCAGAGCTCCTTCATGCTGGAGACTGTTAATGCTCTGATAGTCAACCTTAAAGTCTTGGTTGAAATAAATCATAATAGCTGCCAATTAGCAAGTGCTCGTCATATGTCTTATAAAGAAGCAAATCTTTCTGGAAGCTGGACTATAATGAAGAGAAATTTGGCATCAGGATAAGAGGAAGACTCAACAGCAACCTACATTATGCAGATGACACAATCTTGTTTGCATAAAGTGAAAAAGACTTGATGCACTTGCTCAGAATAACAAAGACTATAGCCTTCAATGTTAATTACAGCTCAGCATCAAGAAATCAAAAATCCTCACAACTAGACCAATAGGCAACATCATGATTGTTGTTACATACCATCAAATCAGAACCAACTCATAGCTGTACCTTTAGTGAGTTTTCAGAGGCAATAAAACTCACAGGAGGAGATTGTCAAGTAGCTGGTAGATTTGAACCACAAAAAGAACAAGTAAGTCTATCTTGGAGGAAGTAGAAGGATGTTGCTCCTTAGTGGCAAGGATGGTGAAACTTGGTCTTACATATTTTGTGCATGTTGTCAGACCTTAAGAAAAGACATCATGCTGGTAAAAAAGAAACAGGAAGAGAATCAGTAAGATGGAATGGCACAGTGACTGTAACAATGGGCTCCAGCTCTGTGAGATGGTGAGAATGGTGCAGGAGGGCAAGCTTTCAGTCTATTGCACCCAGGGTAACTATGAGTTGTAGTGGACTCAAAGGCACCTAACAACATTTTATCCCAGAATCTCTGAATGATGCCAATAGTTAAGAATTACAAAACTAACTGAAACAGTGGCTGTTCAGACCCACATCAAGGCACCCGGTGAGCTGCTTTGGAAAGCTCACAACCTTGACAATTCTGTAAAACACAGTTAGTTATCCTGTGACACATATGGAGTAACTGTGAGTGGATATTGACTGGACAGCAATTAACAACAGACTAGCAAGGTCCCTGGGCCCAGGATGAAATAAGTAGTCTGACAGTTTGAAAACACCAAGCAGCACCACAGAAGAAAAGCTTAGTGATCCAGTTCCATGAAAGCAGGAGCAAGAAAATCCTGCGGAGTTCTGCTCTGCAGCACACGGTCACCTCAATTCAGAATGAACTCAACGGCAACTGGTTTTTGGTTTATATTCTTCCTTATTTGGGGAGCAGAGAGGATTCCCATCTGAGGGTCATCGAGAAGAAGCACCTTGCTTCAGAGTGCACTCAGTGTGTAATATTATCAGTTTGCAACCAGTCTGTGTTTGTTTCACAGCATATCAGGAACATATTCCCCTGCTAGTAAATGCATCTCTAAAAAAATATTCTTATCAACGATGCTATGTTACAATGTAGAGAAAACATGATTTGTTTAATCCCCTGGTGCTAAACGTGTAAATTATTTCCAATCTCTTGCTTTCATTAAACAATGCTCAATCACTTTGTGCCCTTAAGCAACTCCCAAAGGAAGGATTCCTAGAAGTGTTTTCTGAACCAATGGAGTGCAGTTTGCTATTGATGCCCCAATTCCCATGGAAGCAGTTTTCAGCTTCATATTATTATGAAGATTACATTCCCAATTTACAAAGCAGCCCGAGAGACAAGAGAGCTGTAGTGACTGGAAGTGAATATTCTAATGTGGTGGTGTGTAGAGGCCAAATTTGGTCATCTATGAAAAGCAATGGGAGTGAGGATGTGGAATTATAATTGGTAGTCAGACACTTTATGATAAATCCAAGGTGGAACTTCTAGTATCATTGTCAAGGCTCAAAAATTCACTCAAACTCATTACTATCTGGTCAGAATCAACTCATAGGTGACCGTCCAGCAAGTTTTCTGAGACTGTAAAGCGCATGGGAAGGAAATTTTGGTGGTAAGGAATTAGGCTGCCACCAAAACGTACACAGTTCAAATACACCAGCTGCTCTGGGGGACAAAGATGGGCAGTCTCCTCCTGTGCTATTTACTGCATCTGGAGGCTCAGCTATGGGCTAGTTCTGACTTTATGGTACACAACAACCACAACAACAAAGCACTGGGAGAGTGCTCATCTTTCTTCTGTGGAGCAGCTGGTAGTCTTTGGGTTAGCAATGCAACACCCTGTGGACTATGCCCCCAGAGCTCCCTACCTGTTAAGGATGTTGTTGATGATGTTAGGTGCCATTGAGGTGATTAAGACTCTTGGCAACTCTGTGAACAATAGATCTGAACTTTGCCCTGTTCTGTGTATCCCTCATGATCTCTGACATACTCTAGTCCATTGTTACAGTCATTGTGCCAATCCATCTCATTGACGGTCTTCCTTTCCGTCACTGACACTCCACCTTTCCTAGCATGATGTTCCTTTCCAAGGACTGGCCCGTCCTAACAATATGCCCAAAATATGTGAAATGAAGTTGCATCACCATCTTTGCCTCTCAGGAGGACCCTGACTGCACTTTGTGCAAGATGGACTTGTTTGTTCTTTTGGCAATGCATGGGATATTCAGTACTCATCTCAAATACCACAATTCCAGGATTTTGATTCTTCTGTCATTCTTATCCATTGTCCAACTCTCAGATGCAAGATGCAAAGCAAATTATTGAAAAGACTATGGCTGGAATCAGATGCACTTTAGTCTATAAATGCATATTGTTTTTCCTTAGCACTTTGCTGAAATCCTTGACAACAGAGTTTTCCAGTGCAAGACACCTTTGGATTTCTTGACTGCTGGTACTGAGGATGTTGACTGGGTCCAAGCAAGATGAAATTGTCAATGTCAATTTTTTTTCTCCATCTATCATATACAAGTAATCTTACTGAAGATTATAAAAAAATGCCTAAAATTACTCATTGACAGAGAACTGCCAGAAATTCAAGCTGGATTTTGAAGACGCTGTGGCACTAGAGATATCATTGTTGAAGTAAGATGGATCTTGTCTGAAAGCAGAGAATACCAGAGGGATGTCTATTTGTGTTTTACTGACTATGCAAAGGCATTTGACTGTGTGGATCTTGACAAATTATGGCTAACATTGAGAATGGCCATCCCAGAACACTTGATTGTGTTCATGTGAAACCTGTACCTAGACCAAGAAGCTATTGTCCGAACAGAGGAAGAGAACACTGCATAGTTTAAAACCATGAAAGCTTGCTAATAGCCATATCCTTTGTTCCTATTTGTTCACTCGGTGTGCTGAGCAAATCATTTGAGAGGCTTGACTTTATGAAGAGGAATGTAGCATCAGGATTGGGGGAAGACACATTAACAACCTGCTTTATGCAGATGACACAATCTTGCTTGCTGAAAGGGAAGAGGACTTGAGACACTTGCTGCAGAAGATCAAAGACTGCAAGTTTCAATATGGGTTAAATCTCAACATCAAGAAGACAAAAATGCTCACTTATTAAGGATAAGACTTTACAATTCTCTTTAAGCAAACATGTACATATTCCTTCTTATCTTCCGTAATAGCCTCAGCGCATGAAGACTAGAGGCAAAGCAGACTGTCATTCAACTTTAATCCCTCCATTGACTGTCCATTACACTTGGAATAAAAAACTCAATACCTTGCCTGTGCCTGCAAAATCCCTTGTCATCTTCCTACCTCCTCTCCTGTCCCTACCTTCATGCTGAGCTACCTCCTTATGTTCGGGAACTTCAAACATCTGATTCCCTCTGTTTGGAATGCTCTTCTCCATCTCCATTTACTGATGCTGTTATCCAGAAGATTCCCTCTTTAAGGATAGCATTTCCTCCTAGCTGCTACCCTAAGACACCTGGGGTACTAAAGTGTGCCTGACCCAAGCTATGGCATTTTCCATTGGCTTACAAACATGCGAAAGGAAGACAATGAATAAGGAAAAGCCAAGAAAAATTGATGCCTTTATATTATGGTGTTGGTGAAGAGTACTGAATGGATTGTCAGAAGAACAGACAAAGATGGTAAGACTTTGTCTCATATGCTTTGGACGTTTTTATTAGGGGGAGCAAGTTCCTGGAGAAGGAAAGAATTCAGGTTAAAGTAGAGGATCAGCAGTTCGAATCCACCAGATGCTGTGCTGGAGAAGGAGGTGCAATCTCCTCCAGTGCCAGTCAGACCAGACTCAACAGTGTACACACACACACACACACAAACAAACACACAGGGTCAGCAAACAAGAGGAAGACCCTCACTGAGATGAGTTGACACAGTGGATGCTCAGTGGATTCAACCATCGCGATGCTCATGCTCCTTAGGGTTGCATAGGGCCTACCAGTATTTTTAGTTGAACAGATAAGTTAGGTCGTATTTCCACAGGATTGGAGCCAATTGGCCCAGAGGAGCAAAAGCACCTCCCCTTTTTCCTTCTTTCATGTTGATTGCTTAACCCTGGGTGCCATATACCATTGTCAGAACGGAGAGCAGAACAATGACCAACACATTGCAGCTGCTGACAGGGGAAAAGGGTCAAACCAGATGTCATAAGGAGGCCATGAGGGAAGGAAGCCGAGCCTCATTCCTGCCTGTAGTTTCAGGAAGATGGATACCTGGTTCTGGAAGGATTCCTGTCTGCAGAAGAGTGTGTGACCATGCAGGACAGGATTGGTGAGATAGTGGCCAAGATGGATGTCCCTCTCCATTGCCGCACAGAATTTTCTACCCAGGAGGAAGAACAGCTCCGAGCCCAGGTAAGTGGGGCAGATGAACATGGGATCTGGCTTTTGAATGGGCAGATCAAATTTAGCCCACAGCTAAAACAACATTGTGGTGGGGAGCTCTGGTGGCCTAGTGGCAAGGAGCTGCAACTACAATCCCAGAGGCAAATGGTTTGAATCCACCAGATGCTCTGCCGGGAAAGGAGGGACAATCTCCTCCTGTACCAGTCAGATCTGATTTGATGGTACACTCACACAAAAATAATAATAAAAAACACACACACACAAAAAAAAAACCATTGTGGAAGGAAAGACTCCCAAAACCCATGGGCTGTAACAGACTCTATATGGCATGAATGTATGAAAAATCAAACCCACTGCCATCTAGTTTGGTTACAGTAACACTCTCCTGGGCTTCTCAGGTTGTAAATCTTTCTCCCACAGAGCTGGTGGATCCAAATTGTCAACCTTTTGATGAACAGCATAACACATTTTACACTAGGCCACCATGGCTTCTATGAATGTATATCATGGGCATTGTTGTTGTTAGGTTCTATCAAGCCTGTGCTATAACTCATAATAACCCTGTGCTATCAGAAACTTGCCCTATCCTGCACCAATCTGACATGATGTGCCATCCCAAGCTCATTGTTGTAATCTTTATGTCAATCCATGTCTCTGAGCGTCATCCTTGCTTTCTCTGACCTTTCTACCTTTTGACCTTCTACCTCTGACCTTTCTACCATTTAATGTCTTTTCCAAGGGCTGGCCCCTCCTAAAAACATGACCAAACTATGTGAGATAAAATTTTACCTTTTTTGTCTCCAAAGAGCACTCTGGTTGCACTTCCTCCAAGAAGGGGAAGTTTTTTTGCCATTCCATAGAATATTCAATGCTCTTCACTAACACCACAATTCAGAGGCATCAATTCTTCTTTGGTCTTCCTTGTTCATTGTCCAACTTTCAGATACATAGGAAGCTATTGAAAGTGCCATGGCTTCCATTAAGTGAAATTAGATGTCTTTAAACTGACATCTTTGTTCTTTAGAACTTTAGAGAGGTCCTTGACAGTAGATTTCCCCAGCACAACACATCTGTTCATTACTGGACTGCTGTTACCATTGGTTTTGATTGTGGATCCAAGTAAAATTAAATCATTGACAACTTCAATCTTACCTCTCTGTCTTATCCTGATGTTGCCTATTGGTCTAATAATGGTGAAGATTTTTGTTTTTTTGATGTTGAGATGTAATCTGTAATGAAGGTTGTAGTCTTTGCTTTTCTTCACTAAGCACTTCAAGTCTTAAAGAAGATGTAAAGACTTTCTGCAAGAAAGGCCAACATTATTATTTCCATTTTATAAGTGAAGGTAAAGAAACTCAGGCAAGGTGAGCTTTGCCCTAAATCACAGTTATTAATTGATAGAGGTAGCATTTGAACTCAAATGTGCCTGAAACAAGTGCTGTTGTGGTGTAATTTCTCAGCAGTTCCCCTTTCACAAAGTACTTCTTGATGGTTGTCGACCCACGTGAATGAAGTTATTCTAATGGACAGAACTCTGCTTATTTCTCCCAATTTGATATTGTTAGGTGCTGTTAAGTCAAGTATGACTCATACCAACGCTATGAACAACCAACCCGAACCCTGCACTATACTGTACCATCTTCATCATCTCTGACGCACTAGAGCCCATTGTTGAAGTCATCATGTCAATCCATCTCTTCAGGGTCTTCCTCTCCTTTAGTAACCCTCCATCTTTCCAAGCATAATGTCCCTTTCCAAAGAATAACCTCGCCTAGCTACATGTCCAAAATATGAAAGATTAAGCTTCGCCATCTTTGCCTCCAAGGATCAATCTGGCTGCACCTTTTCCAAGACATAGCTATTCTTTTGACAATATATGAGATATTCAGTACTCTTCTCCAGCACCACAACTTTCTTCTGTCATCCTTATTCATTATCCAGCATTCTGATATGTAGCAGGTGATTGAGAAGACTATAAGGCACACCTTAGTCTTCAAAACTGACATCATTGTTCTTAAGTGTTTTGGAGAGGTCCCTGAGATCAGATTTGCACAATGCAGTATGTCTTTTTATTTTCAGTATGTTTTTTTATTTCTTGACTGCTGGAACCGAGGATGTTAATTGTTGATCCATGCAAGCTGGATTGACAGCTTCAATTATTTCTTCATCTCTCATGACTGTTGGTCCTGTGGTGAAGATCTTGTTTTCTTGATGTTGAGATGTAATCCACACTGAAGATGTAGTCCTTGGTCTTCTGTAGCAAGTGTTTCATATCTTCCTCATTTTCAGCAAGCAAAGTTGTGTCTGGCCTTCGAATGGGTGCCATCTTCATAATACAGGTTGTTGATCAGTCTTCCTCCAATCCTGTTTGACATAGATAAGTTGAAACTCAATAGTTCTGGTAACCCCCTGAGGTTTGACTTTATGAGCTTGTCTGTTGTAGGGAACCAAAAGTACAGATCAGGCTTTTGAATGAGCTTCAACTCAACTCACACCTGTACTGGGGAACTCCTGCCATCTGGTGCACAGAGAGTGTATTACAATGTCCAGAAGTCTTGCCTCCCTGGGACTATGGATAAAGGTTTACAGAAAAACTATTTCCTCCAAATAAACACAAACGTAAATTCAAATTCACTGTCATTGAATTGGTTCCAGCTCATAGCTATTCTTCATTGGGTGTCCAAGGCTGTAAATCACAGCAGGAAGAAACGGACCGTCTTTGTCCCATGGAATGAATGGTGGATTCAAACATCCAGAAACGCTTGGCCTTTAGCTTAACGCTGTGGCTCACTCCAGATTCAGCCACCAGAGCCCTCTTTCCTCCTAATTCATCTAACTTGGCCAATGCCTGCCTTCCAGTTGAGGAAATGAAGAACTAAGAAATCCTGCTCGAAGGAGTAAAGCGGCTGAATTTTGTGCTGAGAATGTTGGTGACAGAGGGGAGGGAGAGATGGGAGAAAAAAGTGTATATATATCACTTTATGAACTTTCACATTCACTATTCATCTCGTGACAAGCTTAAATGAGCACTAAAAAATGAGCACCAGATCCACGGGAGAAGAAGGGGCAATCTCCTTGTGTGCCTGTCAGATCTGATTCGATGGTACACAATTAAAAAAAAAACAACAAAAAAAGAATGTTAGGGATCCTGTTCCTCTCTGCCGTCAAGTTTATCTCTACAATTCATTTGAGGAGTTCTGTTTTAACCCTGCAAGTTGTGGTACAGTGATATGGCATATCAGTCTTCAAAGAAATAGATATGAATGTTATCTTTTCATTGATAATTTTTGCCCTATGGAGAGGCTACTGTTGCATCTATTTGTAAATTAATTTTAGCATTCTTTATTGCCTATATAAGAAATCCAGGTGGTAATATGGAGGGCTGTGAACCAAAAGGTCAGCAATTCAAATCCACTGACTGCTCCAAGCAAAGGAGTGAGATGTCAATCTTCTCCTGTAAAATGAACACTGTCAAAAACCCAATGGAAGGGAGCTCTGATGGCCTAGTGGCAAGAAGCTGCATTGCAATCCAAGAGGTGCACGGTTCAAATTCACCAGATGCTCTGCTGGAGAAAAGGAGGGCCAGTCTCCTCCTGTACCAGTCAGATCTGATTTGATTTAAATAATAAAATTAAAAAACAACAACAACCCAATGGAGAGTCACTGAGAGTTTGAATCTAGGACAGCACTGCATGACGTGAGTATTACTCAGTATGTGAATTGTGATTCTTTTTTTTTCTTTTCCATAATTATATTTTATTAATTTTCATAAACATTTACAGAGATTTTGGGTTTCCATTCATTCATTGTTGCACTATTCTCTCTACCCTCCTCCCAGTTTGTTCTTGTCCAAATGCCACAGTGCTTGTCAAAGCCAGTTCTGATTAATCTTCTTTGTCAGTGTGTCCTTTGCCATTCCCTATCACTCCTCCCTGAGAGAGACTTCACCCTGAGTCATAAGGAAAAGGGGACGGCGTATTCTCTTAGCTACTTCCTGCTGAAAAGGGACGCTGTGGGTTTCAGGGTGAAGATCTTCTCTCACTATTCTAAAGGGCCCCTTTGGCAGTAGGAAACACATAGACTATTATGGAGATTGATTTTGGGATTTAGATGCACTCTTATTGATTGTGCTTGGCCGTACATGTTCATATCCTTGAAGATGTATCATGGGGGTGTTGCAACCTAGAAGACACAAATTTGACTAACAAGTTATAAGTACATGAGTCCAAAAATTATGGAAAAGTAAAAGAAAAGATTCTTTCATTGTTTTACAAACCCTCCCCCAGGTCCCCTCCACCATGCAGCCCTCGCTCTAGTCTCCTGTGATGACAGAAATACCTAGTTATATATCTCTTTTAAACAGTTTTCTCCCTCCTCTGTTTCAGTGCAGTATACATTATTGAACCCATCTTACTCAGTCTCTCCCCAACCCCAAGGACAGTCCCATTCTACAACAGTGGCATCATGTAATATTTGTCCTTTTGTGACTGGGATATTTCACTCAGCATAATGTTCTCCAGAGTCAACCATTTTGAATAATATTGCATGAGTTCCTTGTTTTTTAATGCAGCATAGTATTCCATTGTGCGAATATACCACAGCTTCTCTAGCCATTCGTTTGTTGATGGGCACTTAAGTTGTTTCCGAATTGTGATTCTTGAATTCTCCTTTGGACTAGAAACAAAATCACTGTGGTTCCCTTGCTAAATGACAATTAACAAGTTAAGTGAGATCTTTGACATATGTACAGCATTGTCATTTTTAGTATTTATTATCAATTATGCTCCCTTAACTAATTTCTCTCACCTTGACCCTAGTGTATTGTTGTTGTTGGTTGCCTTCGAGTTGAGCATGATGCGTAGTGACCCTATGAACAAAAGGCCTGAAGCCTTTCTATAAATATTGATACTTGTCAAAGTTCATAGAGTTTCTGGAGGCATGTTGTTTAGGAAGTGGATGCCACTCCTGGACCCTAGTGTATAGGAGCTAAGAATATCAAATAAAGTTTTTAACTTTCAAAGTGGGAAGAGCTTTGAAAGGGGCCAGGCAGGTAATTGAGATGAGTCATGTGGGCTGAATCTGAGAGCAGATGCACACATGAGGTGAGTGATGGGGCTGTGGCCACCCAGGAAAGCCAGGTGGTAGGGTTGCTACCACTCAGCTCCAGTTATGTCACCACATGGGATAATTAGTGCAGCCTGCATTTGTAAAATGTTGCCTGTTGGTGAGAAAGACACATACATAGGCAAATCAAGGATGGCTGAAGTCATAAAGAAAACATAAGACCTCTTCCTGGAGCATTATTTAAGGATACTGAGAAATTTAAAATATTAAAATTAACCATAGTATCTTGGTTAGGAGATTTAGGATCATGATGTCTTTCTTTTTTAAAACTTTATATTGGTTTTAGTGAGCAGAATCATGCTTTCATGGGCCAGTCCAGTTAATTAGTCTAGTAATGTGTTTAGTGCTTTCGTTTAACTCTTGGTTTATCACATAGTCCCTGGGGTTTCAACAGCTGGGAAATGACATCCAAGGCACAATTTTTAGTTTCTATTCATCCAAACAGAGGAAGAGAAGCAGCAGGAATACATGGAGGAAAAGGAATGTGTGACGAATGGCTCCATGAACAATTGTCCCCTTTGTCATGAGACCAGAAGAACTGGATAGTGTCCAGATGTCATTACTGAACATGTTGATCAAAGATAGAGCAGAAAAAGAACAATAAAATAAACCTCCCCAAACCCAAAAAGACTATCAGCAGAATCCTGATCAGAAAGCAGAAATTGCAAAACAGAATTTCTAATGTTCATAGACCAGAGGCTTTCCGAAATTAAGAGCTGGACCTTAACAATCCTCATAAAACACAACAAAAGTTTAGCTTAACCAATTTGTAAAAGAAAAAAGTCTGTTTTGAGCATTATGCTCTTTTAATAATATTCCATAGGGAATAAAAGTGACAACTGCAATTTGAATGATTGGACAGGAAGCTTAGGAGGCAAGGAGTTTATGTTGCTAATGAGAAACCACTTAGAAAAAGAGGGTGAGGATGGGTGCACAATTTGAAGACTGTAAGCAATGTCACTAATTAACACACATAGAGAAACTGGTGTTAAGTTACGCTGTGTATATCCTCAACAACACCACTAACTTAAAGATAAAAATATTGTGTTGTATATATATATATGTTGTTTGTTGTTGTTATGTGCCGTCGAGTAGCCTGCGACTCATAGCGACCCTATGTACAACAGCCCTAAACTCCGCTCTGTCCTGTGCCAATCACACTGTCTCCGACACTCCCATCCCAATTATCCCAGTCACTGAATCAATCCACCTCATAGAGGGCCTTCCTCTCCTGCGCCGTCCTTCCACCCTCCCAAGCATGATGTCCCTCTCCAAGGACCGGTCTCTCCTCCCTACATGTCCGAAGTAAGTTAGACGGAGCCTCAGAATCCTTGCCTCCAAGGAGCCACCCAGTTTAACCCTCTCCAGGACAAATCTATTTGTTTTCCTAGCAGTCCATGGTATTCATATAAAAACAAAACACTTGCCAATCCAACAATTTCTCCATATAAAATTCAACAACATATATTACACTCTTCATATTTAGCCATAAAAAGGACGAGTTATTGAGAAAATAGAAAACGTGTAATAATAACTAATATTAAACACTAGCAATGCCCTCACTAAAGTGGTTTTTTTAATATAAAAATAAAAGTCAATATTTACATGGTACATACTTCATTCTAAATACTATACTAGAGTTTTGCATATCTGAACTTCAAACCTTTACAACAAATGTCCTGTGATTGGTGCCATTGATAACATCTGTATTTTACAGATGAAATTAAGCTCAGGTAAGCTTAGTGAAGTGAGCCCCTGTGGCCTAGCAATAGGAAGCTGCACTACAATCCCAAAGGCATGTAGTTGGAGGCCACCAACCACTCTGTGGGAGCAGGATGAGCAATCTCCTCCTGTGTGATTAACAGCCTCTGAAAACCCACTGGAGGGTCAGCTATGGGTCGGCTCTGACTTTACTGTACACAACAACAAGAAGTTTAATAACATGGTCATGGTCACACAGCTAATTGGTGCCAGTGCGGGGATTTGAGGCCAAGTGTTCAGGAGCCCTGCTGGCACAATGGTTAAGTATTTGGCTGCTGAAAGGTTGGTGGTACAAACCTATCAAGCTACTCTGTGGGGTCACTACAAGTCAAAGTCAACTCCACAACGATCAACAATCTTAGCTCAAGTCTGCTCTCAGTAGCAGCCTCTGACTGAAGCTCCCAACAATTTGGGGAAATGTAAATGCTATACCATGCCTTTTATACAAATGAGAAAAACCAAGAGCTGGAGAGAGAGGTTAAATGAGTTGCCTACCTAAGGCTCCCAGGGAACAGTCCCATTTTATTCTAGTGCTTGTTTTCTTAATCACTATCAAGTAGAACATAAAACTTGCAACCTACTAAGAAGTTTAAAAGAAATTTTGTTGTGTATAGCATCTGGCTGTTTGTTTCCAGGCAGTTGGAGTTTCAGTTCCCTGTCTTGTGTGTGCTCTAATGACCAAGTTTAAGAAGCATAGAAAGAGTCCTGTTAGCTGTATGCAGGGAGGAATTGTCTGAATCCTTCCTCCCTTTTTGCCAGACCCTTCTGTTTTCTCGACCCTACCAATGTCTTCTCTCCACAGGGCAGTACAGACTACTTCTTAAGCAGTGGTGATAAGATTCGATTCTTCTTTGAGAAAGGTGTTTTTGACAAGGAAGGTATGGAGGTGGGGAGGTGGGGACCTGGAGGTATGAGAGGACCAAAGTGAGAGTGGCCTAGACTTGGGTATCTGTCTCCCAGAGCTGGAAGGGTGCGGAGGTCAGCTGCCTGTGGGAGGATGCACTGGGCTTCTTCTGCCCTTACCTGTTTCTTTGCCACAGGCAATTTCCTGGTCTCTCCTGAGAAGTCTATCAACAAAATTGGCCACGGTGAGTAGGGCACAGGAGGACATGAGGGAAAAAAATAGAGAAACTGAGGTCTGAAGAGATTAGGGCCCATGCTCAAAGACCACAGTTGTTACTCCTGGATGCAGGCTTCCCTGATGGTCCTGCTCTTATACATCTTATGGTGCCAAACACATGATGGTCAAGATGCCACCACTACAGCCTTAGAGGTGTTCACTAGAGTTCTCTTCCAGGGCACATGGCACATGCAGGCCTCTCTGTGCCATGTGGTCTGGGGATGATCCATACCCCCAGGAATGGGGGTTCCTAGGTCTTAGGAGTAACAGTTCCCTGGAGTCTCCTCAAAGGAAATATGGCATAGTTCCTATTCAGTTATGCTTAAAACTAAGCCAGGAAATCCTCACTTTTTGAATGAACAATAATGATAGTGAATGTTGTTATTGTTATGTACTGTCAAATTGACTATGACTCATAATGACCCTACGAACAATGGATCTGAGCCCTGTCCTATCCTGTGCCAACCTCATCATCTTGAATGCACTTGAGTTCATTATTACAGTTACTGTGTCAATCCATCTCATTGAGGGTCTTCCACTTTTTTGCTGACCCTCCATCTTTCCAAGCATGATGTCCTTTTCCAAAGCCTGGTCCTTCCTAACAACTGACTCAAAGCACATGAAATGAAGTTTCACCATCCTTGCCTTTCAAGAGTGTCCCATTGCACTTTCTCCAAGAAGGACTTGTTTGTTCTTTTGGCAGTTCATGGGATATTTAGTACTCTTCTCCAACACCATAACTCAAAGACATCTATTTTTTGTGTGTCATCCTTAGTCATTGTCCAAGTTTAAGATTCATAGGAAGTAACTGAAAAGACCATGGTTTGAATCAGGTGCACTTTAGTTTTGACTGTTGTGTACCAGGCCCTGGACTAACGCTGTACATATATAATAAACCCACTGAGTTCTCCCAAGAGCCTTGGAGGCAGGGCTATTCTTTTGGCCCCTATTTTACAGAGGCTGACAGGAAAGGAATGGTTACCCAAGGCCACACAGAGTGAGCAGCAGTAAGGAGACTGCTACTAATGACAAGCCCCTTTGAGCCTTGTATCCCATGACGAATGGGGAATCAGAGCCGGAGAGAAGTTCCAGACCACAGAAAGGTCAAAAGTAAAACCAGGAATAGGATAAAGGCTGGGATGGGATATAGGACCCTTCATTTCATTATAAACAAGCAGAAGGTTTAGTGTACACACAATAGGTGATAATGTGACAGTGAAGCTGGAATCTGGGTGCCCTGAGCAAGGCACTGGAGGGATGCATGGGGTGGGTCAGGATCTGGCCCTTGAATTGACTTCTGTCCCTGCAGCTCTGCATGCCCATGACCCGGTCTTCAGGCATGTTACACATTCCCCCAAAGTGCAGGTGAGCAAGTGATGGAGAGAGGGTGAGGTTGGTGGGCGTGTGGGCAGGCCAGCAGATGACGTCACCTCTGCCCCCTTCCAGGCCTTGGCCAGGAGTCTGGGCCTCCAGATGCCTGTGGTGGTACAGAGTATGTACATCTTTAAGGTGAGCACTCTATCTTCCCACACCATTGTTTCCCTTTTGTACAACAGGCACAAAGCTTACCTCAGTTCCTTCTTACATTGGGCCCAAAAGTGCTTCCCCATAGGATTGACTGAAAACTCAAACTCATTACCATTGAGTTGGAACAGACTCACAGCTGACCATCCATTTTTGAGGCTGTAAATTGCATGGAAGGAGATTGCCCATCTTTCTCCCAAGGAGTCACTGGTAGATTTGAACCACAAGAGAGGTGTGGGCTTTACGTTAATAGAACAACTCCTTATGGGCTAAGCCACCAGAGCTCCCATGGAATTATGAAGTGACTTACTGAACACAGCCCATGTAACATTGGCCCTTGTCACTGAGTGATCAGTTAGGATTTGTTTGTTGGAGGAACAGTGCTTCCCTGAATGCCCTCCTCCTTTTTTTGCCTGTTGAAGTGTTCTGTTCCCCTCTGTTTAAGGCCCAGCTCAGTGCCACATCCAAGAACATGTCTAGATCCCTTAGAAAGAAAGGGTTCATCTCTCAGCCTAAAGGCATAACAGTTGGCCCCATTACCGCCTCTCTTTCTAGCCCTCATTTCATTCTACACTGTGCTCTCAGGCTCGCACATGCTGACTCCTGCTTAGACTGCTCCTTTCCTTTTGTACTGGATGCTTTTTCACTTTGCATCCTGAGCAAAAGTGTTGAATAGTTAGCTGTTGGGTGAAATTTCTGGAGGTGAACACGTGGAGCCAGGGCAGGGGCATCACACTAGACTCAGAGTGAATCCCTGTGCTCCACACTCTTTGCTTTCTCCTGTCCTCACCAGGATCCTCCTCTCTCTTTCAGCAACCTCATTTTGGCGGTGAAGGTGAGCAGAGAACAAGCACAGGTGGGAGATTGGCACATTAGTGGCTGCAGGCCATAGGAAGAAAGGAAAGCTACTACTGCTGAGACACCTGTAGGCAGGAGCTTAGACCAGGCTAGGAAGAACAGGAGCCACTCTTCATCCCTTCCCAGACAGTGGGTTGGGAAGAAGCTCTGGAGCCTTTGGCACAGTGGCCCCCGCTATCCTGCCAGCCACCCCTTGTCCTAATTGCTGTCCCCGGAGAGTTTTGATTCAGTGTGGCTGCACAGGTCTGGGGAATCTGCATTTTTAGCAAACTTCCTGGGAACTCATCCAGCATAGCAATTACTGATTTAGTTCCAAAACCTATTAGAGACACAGATGCCCTTTATAGGCCCCACTTCTACTTAAATACCTCTAGTAACAGGAAGTTCCCCTTACAGACAGGTTTTCCCACCCTTGCATTAGGCCTGTTTTACCTCCCTGTGACCACACTCTTCTTCCTGTCCTTCATTCCAAGGACAGTTTGCTGGAGCACTAGCCACCTATTCCCTGAGTCTTCTTAGAAAGGCACAGCACCCCGAGTTCCTTCAGCCATTCTCCCTCCCTGAGGTTTTGAGGCCCTCACCGTTAAAGTGCAATCATCCAGATGGTCAAAATCCCTCTTAAAGTCTGATTCTCAGAAAAACACATGATGTGTCCCAGGCAGGAAGGAGGTAAGAAGATAGGAAGGAAGTGAAGCCAACACCTGCTTTACTTTCTTCCTTCAGACTTTATGGTGTTTTTGTTCAATGTTTTTCCATTCTGCCTGGGCCCTAGCATCACTTGGGCAGTTATTTAAAAATAAAGATGATGGGCTCTGCTAGCCTCGTGGCAAGAAGCTCCTCTGCAATCTCGAAGGCATGTGGTTTGAATCCACCAGATGCTCTGCTGGAGAAGGAGGGGCAATCACCTCCTATGCCAGTCAGATCTGATTCAATGGTACACAAGAAGAAATATAACAATACCGTAGGGGAACTCTGGTGGCCTAGTGGCAAGAAGCTGCACTGCAATCCCAAAGGTGCACGGTTCGAATCCACCAGATGCTCTGCCGCGGAAGGAGGGACAATCTCCTCCTGTACCAGTCAGATCAGATTTGATTGTACACACACAAAAAAATAATAAAATAAAAATTTAAGAAATAACAAAACTGAAAAGAAATTTAAAAAAACCAACCCAAACGATTCAGATCTATAGCCATTTTAGAAAGGTGAAACATTGTCTTCATGTACAATTTAAAAAAAAAAGATGGTTTATAGTCATTTCCCTCTTCGTTTTTATTGTCGGTAATTTACACCACCTACTGGACCATCTGGTGGCTGGAGGCTGCTTGACCCTGGCTGAGAAGGTGGTTTAGTTACTTGTCTGAAGTGAAACAACAGTAGCAAGTAAGCAATATCAGGTCCTGTGCTAACTAAGCCTCTTTCATACATCATCCCATGGAATTTTGCAGCAGCCCAAAGAGGAAGGCTATTGTTGGGGTCATTTTACAGTTTGGGAGATCAAAGATTTGAGAGGTGTGCTCGCTTCAGCAGCACATATACTAAAATTGGAACGATACAGAGAAGATTAGCATGGCCCCTGCGCAAGGATGACACGCAAATTCGTGAAGCGTTCCATTTTTTTTCCTGTTTAAAAAAAAATATTTGAGAGGTATAATTTCTTGTCCAAAAGACTCTGACAAGAAGGGGTAAGCTTCTAATAGGTTGTGAGGAAATAGGCCATCTTCAGGTGGGGGTGGCCAAAAGGGTGGAACCCTCACTCCCTGTGGCCTGCTGCAGTCACCGCTCACCAGGACGCCTCCTTCCTGTACACGGAGCCCCTGGGTCGCGTGCTGGGCCTGTGGATCGCACTGGAAGATGCCACACTGGAGAACGGCTGCCTCTGGTTCATTCCTGGCTCCCATAGAAGTGAGGACACCTGTCCCTGCCTTCCCACCTGTACCCTCCTGAGCCACATGGAGTGAAGATGGGCTAACGGCTCAAGTTTGGCTTACAGGTGGCGTGTCAAGAAGAATGGTCCGGGCCCCTGCCTCTTCAGCACCAGGCACCATCTTCCTGGGATCGGAGCCAGTCTGGGAGAACAGCCTCTTTGTACCCACACCTGTGCATAGAGGTATGAGGACTGGAGAGGGTGCACATGGGTCCCTTCTTCTTACCACCAACACCGATCATCTGAGACATGTGATGTTACCAAGGTCAGAGCTAACTGGACATTTAGCACTGTAATTAATAGCACAGTCTCTGGATCAGGCTTAAATCCAGACTCAAGCTGCTTGGGGTTCTCTGAGGCTCAATATTTTCTTCAATGTAGAAGGAGAAAGAAGTTCTGGAGTGTTTAGCTGCTAATTGAAGGGTCAGTGGTTCGAACCCACCTGAAGCTCTGTATGGCAATTGCCTCTCATGTAGTTTACAGCCTAGGAAAGCTGGTGGGCAGTTATACTTTGTCTTATAGAGTTCTATGAAATGGAATTGACTCTGTGGAAGAGGACAACAGCTTGTTGTTGTGTACTGTCAAGTGGGAACTGACTCATAGCTGACCCTCCAGCTGGTTTTCAGAGGCAGTTAATCATACGGGAGATGGCCCATCCTTCTCCCGCAGAGCACCTGGTGGATTTGAATTGTGTTGCTCTGGTATTTCAGCACAGTTTTGTACCACTATGTCACCAAAACTCCCACTAGAAGGAATAAGTATATGAGATGATGTGTAGATGTTTGCATCAAATTTGCTTGGTGCACAGCAAGTACTCAGTAAATGCTGGCTATGAGCCAACACTTTTCCTTTCAGGAGAGGGAAAATTGAGGTCCAACTCACTATTCACTGGTTGAAATCATTGCTGGTTGGCTCAATAGAAAGAGACTTGTTTAGCAAACACCACAGAAGGTGGTTCTTTTCCTGACTTTTTGGGAGCTCAGACCACAATGTAAAGGACTTGATCTCAAGGAGGAGAGCCTACCTTTAAATGGCACAGCTTCTGACCCTGGAACAGACTTCAGGAGCTGAGCAATTAGAGAAGGGAACAGGATGGATGAGAACGGGGGTCAGGACACGGAAATACTGGAGGAAGAAAGACCTGTGTCCTTTCCTGTTCCGGGAAAGGAGAGTGTCAGCTAGTGTTCCTCAAGGCCCAGTGAGGGGAAATGATATGCCTGGATCCTCACCAGGGGCCCTCATCCTAATCCATGGAGAAGTGGTGCACAAGAGTGAGCAGAACTTCTCCAGCCGCTCGCGTCAGGCCTACACTTTCCATCTCATGGAGGCTTCTGGCACCACCTGGAGCCCAGAGAACTGGTATGACAGTGAGTAGGTGTGTATGCCCTGAAGGAGGTGTCAAAGCTGAGATCCACCCTTCAAGATCATTTCCTTTCTCCTCTGCAGGCTCCAGCCAACAGCTGAACTGCCTTTTCCTCCACTGTATATCTGATGGCTCTCAGCAGGATTGAGCCACTGTCCCTCCCAGGCCAGGCCTACCTCCTGATCTCCCAACAGCAAAGGCTAAGTCCCACCTCTTTCCTTGGGCTTTCCTCTGCAAGTGCCCAGAGGCAAGAGGTGAGTGGTAGGGCAGCAGATGGACTCAATGGGAACCACTGCTAAGATCTTGTCTCCCTGCCTCCTCCCTGCTCCAAAATATCCTCCCTCTTAACTGGCTTCTCACTTTTCTGTCCTCTCGGATAAACTTTGCTACGTATTGTGTGAGACACTGAATAAAAATGACTTCTAAATGTAGCTTCTTGGTTCATTTTGTACGAATAGCACTACTTTCAAGTGAGTTTGGAAATGAATGAATGTCAAATCCAAATCCCATTGCTTAGCGGAGTGGCTTAGAGTGTCCAGAGGTTAGGCATTGGCGTCATGGGCTGAATCCACTGCAGTTCTGTTTTTTTCTGGGCTTTCGTGTTTTAAATTGAAACATTTCACCTAAAAACAGAGGTTTTTAAGCTTCCTTTGAATAAACAGAATGCCGACAACACAGGGCCTAACATTCTTAGCGGGGAACTGCCAGCCGGAGCTGCGTCTTTAGAGTCACAAGTGCTGAAGTCCAGCATGGTTCCCATTTACCACCTTCATTCATCTCTGCTACCTGCCTGGCCTTGGCAGGTGAGGTGGTAATTCTGATTTAGCCCTTTGCTCTATTCATGGCCAGACCAAGGCCCAGAGGAAGAAGCCCTTTCCCAAGGCCACTGGTGAGTCACTGGGGCAAAATGAAAACTGTTTGACAAACTGTAGAAGGGAGTCTAAAGTGAGATTTAAGTCTCCTTTGTGCCCCAAAAGGATGTCTCAATACTCTTCTCTGAGGACAGGACTTGGTGGGGATGTTCAGGCAGAAGTGCAAACTCCTAGAACCTTTCCTGACTTCTCCTCTTGTTGGACCAAAGTGCTCACCTCTTTCTGCCAGAACTCACCCTGCCAGAGTAGGTGAGGATTGGGGAGAGCCTTGTCCAGCTTCATGAAATAAGCTGAAATATCATCTTGCTGACAGGAAATGCTTGTCTGTTTAGTGAAATTTCAACCTGTGTTATATGCCAGGTTCTGTGCTGGTCCTGGGGTAGGGCACAGAAAGCAAGGCTGGAGAGCAGGGTCCCTGAGCAGAGTTCTACAGTAGAGCAATATTGAATTCTCTGGAAAACTTCTAAGAAACTTCTTCAGCCCCTCTGTACTTTCCTGTTGTTGTTGTGTACCATCCATAGAGTAGGAACTGACCCATAGCTGACCTTCAGAGGCAGTTAATTGCATTGGAGGAGACTGCCTATTCTTCTCCAGAGGAGCAACTGGTGGCCTTGAACTGTGTGCCTTTGGAACTGCAGAGCAGCTTCTTGCCATTAGGCCACCAGAGCTCCTTGGAAGCTGTCCTAGGCAGTAGTATGTTACTAAAGGAAAAAACAGACAAGTTTGATGTGACTGGAATTTGAGAGGATCTCAGGAGGGACCCCTTGAGAAGACTTTGTGCTGGCCTACCTGTCAGACCACTTAATCAGGCAGCAGAGGCCATGGAAGAGGTGGAGGAGGTTGGCTGACACCCACGGGACATCACCCCAGGACCTGATCCTTTTTCTTCAGTCCTTCCATGAATGCAACAAGCTAATCCTACCTCTCCCCTTCTGTTCTTCTTACTCCAAATGGGAGAAACCGCATACACTAAACTATTTCCCCCTTGAGCTCCCTTCTCCAAATGAAGCCAGGGAAGGAGAGTCTGTTCATTCTTCAAGCACAATTGATAGGCTTGCATGGGTTGGTTTTTTGTTTGGGTTTTTTTCTTTTCTTTTCTACAATATGGTTGTTCTTGGGGAACTGTGACACTTTCCCACACTGATTGCTCATTATTTGCCGGACATCTCATTTCACTGGATCATACAGATACGTGTTATTATTAATTACTCCCATCTTGTAGACAGGAGAATCAAGGTGACATAAATAGTACAGATAAGGACTCTAACCTGAATGTACACTCATTCGTCAATGCCATCAAGTCAGAACCAGCTCATAGCTGAATCCTCTAGTGGTTTTCTGAGGCTATAAATGGCATGAAAGATTTGCCATCTTTCTCCTGTGGATTGGCTGGTGGATTCAAATAACCAGACAAGCGCCATCTTTCAGTTAGCAATGCAATTCCTTATGGACTGCATCACCAGAGGTTCCTGGTGTCCACTCTAGCCCTCTCGAAAGACCACAAGCTACGAGGTGAAAGGTCTATGCTCTACAGCACACTCACATTCTGAGTTGCTGTATTATATTTTAAGCCTCTTTATTTTAAACACCAACAAAACTAAAACCAAGAAAGCTTTGATTTTTATTTTAAATCTGAAAAAATACCCCCACAAAATCATAATCTGCTCTTTACCCCATAGCTCTTCATGTCCAGATGACTAGCTGCTGTGGGGATCACTCATCCTCCTCATGTTCCTGGTTCCTTCATCACTGCTGTATAGCAGCTAGACCATGAGCAATATCAGGAGGTAGAGAGGCAAAAGGAGATTGTCTATCTGTGTTGTGTATGCTTCTAAGAGGGCTACAGTACTGATAGATCCCAAAATCCAAGCATAACTATAATTTAGGTCCACTCCACCATCAAAGATTAAGATCAGAGCTACAGAAATGATTTGGGCAAATATAGACATCATAGTCCCCTCAAAAGTTTTCTTAGTTCCAGGCCAGTGGATCTCCCCCATGGTGCTCCCAAAGACAGAGGCCACAGTATCACCTACACCAACAGCCAAGACACCAGCATAAGGGACTAGGGCCCTCGCTCCTCTGAGGCTACCCTTCTGCGTACAGGGTCTGGGGACCAGCCAAATGGGAAGAGACATGCCTAAGAGCAGGTAGATATGGGTCAGGATGAGTGGTCCACTGTCTCGTTCATCCAAGAAGAGGGATAGAAGGTTCCGTAGAGTGTGGCCCAGGGGCTTGATGCGAAAGTAGCGCACATACTCCAGGAAGATGAAGACTGCCAGACATATGGTGGCGGCTACAAACAGCAGTGGACGGTCGAAGAGGAGACCTGGGATATATGTGGCTACTACAATGAAGTGGAAATACTTCCGGGTGATGGTGGGAGCCTGGTGCTTCTTGGATTCAGAAGATGACCGCTTGGCATTCTGGTAAAACACCACAAGGCAGGCCAAAGTGGCCAGCAGAGACCAGTAGGCTAGGAGGTAGATGCGAGTGTCCGTCTGGAAGAGGAACTGAAGGAGCCAGAGCAGGGGGTTTCTGCGGATAAGCCGGTGAAGCCAGGGCAGGACCAAGCCAAGGGCCAGCACACAGGTCATCAGGTGGAAGAAGATGGAGGAGGCCCAGGTGCTGGAATCCATGAAGACAAAGAGGGTGCTGAAGAAGACACCCATGAGTATCATTGATACCACCACCACCAGTAGGAGGGAGTCCACTGGGTCTCCTTGGCTTTCCACCACAATGAGAGAACACTTGATGAGCTGGTTGAGGACGAAGCTGATGCCACCTAAGACCAGCAGTGCCTCTCCAGGAGTAAAGCAGCGGGGAAGCAGGTACAGCAGGATCATGTTGAGATACACGAAGATCAGCAGGACCTCCAGGACCTCCACCACCTCACCTACGCTCAGAGAGTGCTTCATGATGTAAATGATGACACCTCCAGCCAAGCCCGAGATGACACAAGTGTTAGTGGGCAATGGGCGGGTAATACCCAGCGCTAACACTGATGAGAAGAGGGCCACGGCCATCCCAGTGGCTGCCACCACAATGCCAAAGCGTTCAAAGTGTGGGTTCCCCGCAGCCTGGCAGCGCTCCTTTATTACCAGTCCGAGCAGAGGCATCACCATGGAGGCAGGTAGTAATCCACTGTTGCCAGACATTCGGAACTGGAAGACAGCATTTCCCTGCTGGAGCAGCCGGTCCCACTTATACTGGACGTAGAAGGCCTGCACCGCGAGGGCCACAGCGCACCAAGAGTATCGGTCCCACACTGTCGCGTGAATGCTCAGTACCATGGCGAACACTACCACCGCCTCGGCCAGCACAGATCCGTTCAGGGCAGCTCCCGCCCCCGGGCTCGGAGAAGCGCTCTGCTGGGTCATGTCCCCAGACTTGAGGCCGCGGGGCAGCCTGGGGGCTAGGGATGCTTTGGATTCTTGGCTTCTCAGCACCGCCAGGGAGAGGACAACAGCTATACCCAGCTAGTAACCTGCTGCCTTCGTTCTTCGGGTGCGAGGACACACGCTCCACTGCAGATCACTCTCTGCGGCCTGAAATCCAGTCCAGTCACCCTCCACCACCTCCAGTTTATGGCGCAGATACCGCCATACAGGCAACTTCACTGCCGCCGCCACTGTCACCGCAGACGCCTCACCTCTCCAGCCACCGCCATGTTGGCCCCGCCCCGTACGGGCCTCACGTGACGGAAGCCCCGCCCCCGGCCTCTGGACCCGGGCGGACGGTCACGTGGGGGCGGTGCCTGGGGGCGGGGCTGGGGCCCGCGCGCGGGAAGATGGCGGCGGCCGCCGGCGACCCGTGTGTGAGGTGCGGAGCGGACCTAGTTGGCGCGGGTGGCTGTTCGGGGCGGGCGTGAAACCGGGCAGAAGCGGGGCGGGAGTTGGGCGCGAGAAGTGGCAGTGGTGGCGGAGCAAATCCCGGCTTGGTAAAACGGGCGCCGAGACGGGAGGCGGTTACGTCCAAACTGTCCCCGCGCGCGGGGATCTGAGGGGATTTCTCCAAGAGGAGGGCGGGTTCCTTACCTCCTCTCTCAGTGCTGGGTCTCCCGTTTCCTTACCCAGCCTCCCTTGCCCTTCTTCCCGTCTCCCCACCGCTGTACCCCTTGGCGCCCCACTCGTGCTTCCTCGCCTGGCGGCGACGCTACCTCGAGGCGCGACGGGACGCTTTGCAGTCGCCCGGAGGACCCTCCCCCACACCTCTTACGTCCCCGCCGCAGCCTCGGGGAGACCCGGCCCGGCCCTTCCGTATCCCCCCGATTCTCCCTGGGTGCTCTAGTGAAGTATGTTTCTCGTTGCGCGGAGCAACCTCCTTGCAGTTTTTACCCTTTTTCTGTACTCGGCCTTTCATTTGCCCCATCAGTTTGTTGCCTCCCTCCCCCCTTCTGTAATGTGATTGGTTCAGTCAGTCGACCTGTCCACGTTCTCCATGCGCCGCGCTAGGCTTTGAGGACAAGATAAAATATTAAAAAGAATGCTACAGTTCTCACGGATAGCGAGGGCTTGCGAGCGCCAGACACCGGGGAGGCGCTTTATATTTACTCTTTGAATTCTCACTAGTCTTTGAGGCACTTTTAATTTTGCAGATGAGTCAGAAGTCCAACTCAGCTAACTTAGTGGGAAAGTGAGGTTCAAGTCTGAGACGCTTGATTCCGGAGCTGTGCGGAAACTGTCACACGGTCTATCTTGAAAACTCCCTGGCGAAATCAGTTAAACATTTCCTGCTGCTTCCCCTGTACCCGCAGGTTCCTCTCCCCACTTTTTAGTCTTGTTTGTCCCGTATCCTCAGTGCGTGAGAATAACCAGTAATAAACCACCAGTAAACTGCGCTGCAGTCCTGAAGGCACGCGGTTCGAATCCACCAAATGCTCTGGGGGAGAAAGATGGACAGTCTCCTCCCCAGAGATTTAAATCAGCCTCTGAAAACCCGCCAGAGGGTCAGCTAAGGGCGGTTCTGACTCAACAGTGCACACAAGCAGCAGCAGCAGCAGCATTTCTTACAGATACTGTCTGTATTCTCTGGCATCACGTTTCACCTCCCAACTGGAAGTGAGATTTTTCTCTAAAGTTGTCACAGAATTACATCTGTACCTTATGAAGACCTTTTCTGCTTCCCTGTTTCATGCCACACATTATAACAGGACAGCATTGTAGCCACTGTACACTTATTTTCTTAGGCTTATTTCAGTTATTGTGGAGTTTGGGTAAATGTTAACCTCATGTAGGGTAAAGCATGTTCTTTGATGAAGAAGCATGACAAGCTTGGAAGCTACTTTGATCATGTTAGGGAATCCCCCAAACTTGTATCCAGTAAATCAGTGACCTCCTATGGAGTTTTTGAGGCTGTCAGTCTTAACAGGAATTGGCTGCCCACTTTCTCCCAGGGAGCAGCTGGTGGATTTGAACTAGTATAGACCTGTGTGATTTTTTTGGTTAGCGATGTAGCTAACCATTTTGCTTAGTGTGAACTATGGCACCAGAGCATCCTATGGCTGTACTGTTGTTGTTCGAATGGGAACCCACCGTAGCTGACCTTCCAGCAGTTTTTCAGAGGCTGTACATTACAAGGGAGGAGATAACCTAACTTTCACCCTTGTAGCTGCTTATGGATTCAAACTGTGTACCTCTAGTTTGGCAACATAACTCCTTGCCACTAAGCCACCTGAGCTCTAAATCGCTTGTTCTAGGAGAAAGGGTTTTCTTTCTGTGCCAGAAGTCACATTCAGTAGCAGTTCAATTACAAAGCATCAGTCCTCTGAAATGCCTTGCAGTCTGGACTAAGGAAATCAGTTCTATTCTTTATACCTTAGATTTGCAAATGTCTTCAGACAAGTGGCCTTACCATTTGAGCCTGTCTCCATATGCAAATATTTTCCAGAGCAATATTAAGGCGTTTATGAGACTGTTTTGTTGGTAGGAAAAGTCATTGTGTATGTTAATAAAAGCTAGCATTACTTAAAAATAGAATACTGGTGAGCTCTGGTGTCCAAGTGGCAAGAAGTTGCACTGCAATCCCAGAGGTGAGCAGATCAAATCCACCAGAAGCTTTGCTGGAGAAGGAGGAACAATCTCCTCCTGTACCAGTCAAATCTGATTTGATGGTACACACACAAACAAATAATAAAATAAAAATAAAAAAGTTTAAAAGAATAGAATACTGTTTTCTTTTTAGAGTATAGTTAACTGTACTGATTCTTTTTTTTCGTGAAGGTTTATAAATCATATTGATTTTCCATACAATCATTCATAGACATTTTTTAATAACATTAGCATTGAGTAATGTAATTCATTAATTTCAGTGTCTAATCAACCAGTTATTGTATTTTGCCTTTTCTTTCATCTGCCTTGTCTGTTGATTAATTTTTTTCCCTCCTCCTCCTTCCTTTCTCCTTCCTGTTAACCCTCCAAGAGAGATTCTATTTGTGTGTAAACCTTTCCTTACCTTTTGATAATAATGATCTTATACATAGTATTCTATAAGCAGGCTTCTGGAAAGTCACTCAAGGATTGACAGAAAGTATTTGACTATTGACCCTTTCCTTGTGGCCCTTGTGTTCTTCAGTTATATGTAAGTCTGAATGGTATAGGTGTCTTAAACAAAAAATTTGAAAACCTTTTACTGTGAAGCTTAAATCTGAGTTTACACAACAAGAGATATGTACCTTCTCAAAGGGGGCTCAAAGGTGGCCTAGTGGCAAGAAGCTGCACTGCAGTCCTGTAGGTGCACTGTTCAAATCTACCAGATGGTCTGCTGGGGAAGGAGGGACAGTCTCCTGAACCAGTCAGATCTGATTAGATGGTACACACACACAAAATAAAAAGAAAAAAAAGATATGTACCTTCTCTAGAGTTAGAGCAGCCATGGACAATGACAGTTTTTATTTCTTATCTCCATGTGGAATATAGTTATTTATAAAAAGACTGTCATCATCACCATACCTGTCACACCTTTATAAAAGATTGAGTGTAACTGCAATCCTAAAGGTGCGCGGTTCAAATCCACCAGATGCTTTGCTGGAGAAGGAAGGGAGGCAAACTCCTCCTGTGCCAGTCGGATCCAATTCGACAGTACACCAAAAAATAAGGAACACTGAGTTTAGACACTATTATTTCTAACCTTGTAGTAGCTTTACTCAAAGCTTCTCAACCTTAGGAATGGCTAAAGAAGATAATTTTCAGTTGCTGTTAATTATAACTTTTTCAGGGATGGAGTTCCATGTTTGCTAAACTGTTGTGCTGGAGATCAGGAAAGTTTTTAAACTTTACCTTTGGATAGGCAAGCAAGAGTCTACTGAAGATTATCCAAAAACGTTGAACAGCACATCAACAGACAACTGCCAGAGGTCCAGGCTGAGTTTAGAAGGGGTTATGGTACTAGGGGTATTGTGGCTAATGTTAGGTGGATCTTAGCTGAACGCAGGGAAGAATGTCTGTCCGTGTTTCATTGATTATGCAAAGGCGTTTGGCTGTGTGGATCATAACAAACTGTGACTGACTCTGAGAAGAGTGGGAATCCCAGAACACTTGATCGTGCTAATGTGAAACCATACTTGGACCAAGAGGCAGTCGTCAGAACAGAGCAAGGAAACACTGCATGGTTCAAAATTGGGAAAGGTGTATGCCAGGGATGTGTTCTATCTCCATACCTTTTCAACCTGTATGCAGAACAGATTATCCAGGAGGCTGGGCTCTGTGAGGAGAAGTGTGGCGTCAGGATTGGTGGAAGATCTAACAACAACCTGTGTTATGCAGATGACACAACCCTGCTTGCTGGAACTGAGGAGGACCTGAAACTCTGCTGCAGAGGGTCAAGGACTCCAGCCTTCAATATGGATTTAGGCTTAATATCAAGAAGACAGATTCTCACCACTGGACCAATCGGCAGCATCAGGATGGATGGTGAAGAGATTGAGATTGTACACAGCTTGGCTCCACAGTCAACACTCTTGGCACCAGTAGCCAGGGAATTAAAAGACGTATTACGATGGGAAAGTCTGCTGTTAGGGACCTCTCCAAAGTACTGAAGAGCAATGATATAACTCTGGAGACTAAGGTGTGTCTGATACAGGTCATGGTCTTTGCAATCACTTGTTATGCATCAGAAAGTTGGATAGTAACTAGGGAGGATAGAAGGAGAATTGATGCCTTTGAGCTGTGGTGCTGGAGAAAAGTATTGAGTGTACCATAGACTACTAAGAAAACAAAGATTCATCCTGGAGAGGGTTAAACCAGGCTGCTCCTTGGAGGCAAGGATTCTGAGGCTTTGTCTCACATACTTTGGACATGTTATAAGGAGGGACTGGTCCTTGGAGAAGGCCATCCTGCTTGGTAGGGTGGAGTGACAGCGCAGGAGGGGAAGATCCTCTGTAAGGTAG